GATGAAGAAGCCGAAGACCATCAACGGGGCTTACATAGATTATTAAATGCGCGACGTAGGGCAATTAGACGTACCTCAAATCCACTGGAGGATTTGCCCGACTCGGTGTTCAGTAAATACTACAGGTTCAATTGGTTCATAGGATTTATTTGTTGGCTTTTATTAATGAAAATAATAACAGAGTTAGGAAGGATTTTATAGAATGGCTGTGTGAAATTCCACTTTCGCTCCGACATAAAAAATCGGAGCTGAGATATTTACCAGCATGAATATCTACTCTCAGTGGTCGATAGGTAGTCAATTCTATTCACTAATTAATCGGTCAAGTATTTATCTCATTTGTAACACGTATTGAAGTGAATTATTAACACTTTACTCCAATAAAAATTATAGCCGCTCCAAAATGAAAAATTGCAGATGGAGGGGCATTTAGGCGCAAATGCGCATAATGCGTTCGCAAAGTCATTACTTTGTGTCACTTACTATCGTGTCGCCCCCTCGCTGCAGAAAATCGCAGCTTCGAAAAAGCGGTGGAAAAAGCGGCTTGTTCTTGAGAATAGCCCTCCTGGTTTTTACCATCACTTTACCAGAATCTTTCCCAGATTTTCCTAAACCTCTATAAAATAGAAAAAACACACACACATGCACACGCACACACACGTGTGCGCACGCACGTACACACACACACACACACACACACACAAACATGTCTTCAAAAAAGTGTCAGGATGATTCTAGGGGTCATGGAACGTCGACAAATCATGAAAATTCCTATTTTTATTTTCGGGGTAATTACAATAACTTCCTCCCTTAGGGTCAGGAAGCTAAATATTGAAATGTCCAAAAGTTCACGGATGTGCTGCAATTTCGTCGTTTGGGTTTCTTTGCACTTATTATTCATGATTGATCAATTCTACATAATTTTCATTCCGAAATATAATTTATCCGAATTTTTTAACAAATAAAAATTTCCATGAAAGATTTGACAACCACGCATTTTTGTTCGACGCAGTTAGTATTCTTGTGTCGCGATAAAATCCTGTATTGTACTATAGAATCTATAGCATATGCCTTGGCGGAGTTCACACAATGGCCTCTACCGCGGGCACGCGAACTTCTCTCAACGTTTCCATGTTCAGCCGTCATTTTCCTCTAACGTAACTAAAATCCAGACCTATATGCCATACATTTTCAATAATTACAAATAATCCCTGTGGTGACAGCTAATGAAATTGTGGGGATATATTCCTGAACTATATACCGTTCTATTCATGAAGCATTTCAATTTTGATTCGATTGTTGATTATTTTTTTGTCATTTTTTAAAGATTGGTTCCATAAGACTTTGTGTTGTTGACACTTTTTGGATATTTTCTCCTCAACAATCTACGTGGTTCCGCGTTTCGGGACTTCAGGATGATATTTGTAATTACTTAAAGAATATATTCTTAAAATTTGAGCTCGGCAGTCCATTTTCTTCTACTCTCATATACTTACTGCGAAAGTTCCTTAAACTTCACTGAGGTATGACAGTGGGAGGTATAGGGAAGCTCTAATGTGACCGACACCAAAACAGGGAACAAGTCCTACCCGACCCCGAGCGCGGCGCTGTCGTACCTGTAGTTCTTTAAGATATGATAGAAGAAGATGATGTCAAGTGTCCCAGACAAGTATTTTCTCTTAATGGTACGAGACGTTGCTGCAATAGTTTCAGCCGTCCTCACTACGATTTCCCTACTTCTTTCCCCTTACTCTTCAGTTCCACCGACCGTACCCGTCCCACACTAATGCAATAGACCATGGTTAGGGGTGCATTAGAGTTTGCCCGAATTATTGAAATTTAATGATTAACCCTCAAGTGAACACACTTTTCTAGCATCTCACTCGCTCCACGGTTTGGTGGGGATCCCTCACGATGCAACCACTTGGGTGTTAAAATTTTCGATAAATTTTTTGCATTTCTTTCGAATATTTATCTATAAAACAGGAGATTTCTGGTGCAGCAGAGATCCTACGGTTCAATTAATGGCGCCCCGCGTGATGAAAGGTTTTTGGCTCGAAACTGTTCGTTCAAATTGAATATTGTTTCACATTTCTACAATATAGGAATAGTACATTACGCAACTAGTGCGGAAAGCAGGCGGTTACTCACGAGGGCGGCACAGCCGCTCGAGTAATACCGCCTGCTGTCCGCACGTGTTGCGTATACTATTTTATATGATAAGTGCGTGATGAAGTCTGGGGGCGGAGGGGGGGCGAAGCCCCCCCCACTGAAGAAAAAAGATCACATTTATTTTTAAAAAATAATTATAAAAAAGTGTGATTTAAAAATTATGCGGAACTTCTGAAGAAAAAATTAATTATATTCATGAAATATGTAGTTCAAAAAACTTGTAAAGTATTTTTAATTGAAAAAAATTAATTATAATAATTACAAAACACAATTTTTAACAATCATTAAGAATTCGCAAAAAAAAGAAAGTTATAATTATAAAAAAATATGATACAAAACGTAATTGAAAAATCGGAGAATATTTTATTTCCATTTTCTTCAAATGTCACATCACCAATAAACTCCTCCTCATCAGTAAATAAATTCTCCTCACTGCCTAACTCTTCATCACTATCAGGAATTATACGATTTTGGCTCATTTTATCTGCTTCGAAAATCACCTTTTCATTTTTCAGTCATTCCATGTATTCACTATTCGGAGGTTAGATTTCCTTCCTTGTTATTCTCTTTTAATAGGTGATGCGCATGCGCGTCATGCGTTATTTCGGGTTTCAGTTGACTATAGTCAACTGAAACCCATGCGGTTACACGCACGTATCATATAAAGTAAATTATTTTGAAACATACTGAATGATGAAAAAATTATTTAATCAATTTATATTTCCTTCAATAATGATCTTTCAATTTTGTATGAATTAATCAATTAATTAATGAATTAATTGTATTACGTATGACGAATAGAGGATAGGAAAGATTGTTGGTTCGGGGGCGATAGGAGAAATGGCGGAGTGAGGGGAGAATATCCGAGTATAGTGGAGAAGGGACAGTTCAAACATATTGGCCTTTTACAACATAGTTCAAAAGACTTTTGCGGGACAGACTGAAGAACAATGTTTGACAGTACCTTCTCTATCATACCTTACCAATAACAGGCTGCAATCTGGCGGCATTTTGCCGTCAAGTTGTACCCAAAAAACAAACAACCCTCTTGCAATCAATTGACAACAGCGGTTGTCTTAAAATTCCTATTAATTTTTAGGCACCCATTGGAATTGCTGGCACTTTGCTACCCAATTACGTCAGTAACTCTCGGGTAATTTGTCAGCAATCATTGTCTGCATTGCCGCCATACTGTCAGGAAAACTGTGGGCAAAGGCTATCTGGGACTCGCTTTACTGCGTGCTAGCATAACACAGCAGTTATGCCCAGCAGTTGTGTACTGCTGCCATCTGTTTCAGTTTTGCAAAAACTCCTTAATAACGATACGCATGCTATACCACACAGTTCAATGATAGAATTGTTACCGTGCGATCGTTGACTAATGATCGGCATAACATAACGACCCACAATATCGGCTTAGCATACACGATATAGGCACGGTAGCTGTATTAGTTGCATGGTTGGCTATCAGGGAACCGAGCAGCGTGCGACGCAAAGGGAGGTTACCTCATTAAATAGGTTGTGCCAGCGCTTCATGGATGGGTCAATTTCTCCTATGCTTTAATACTGCGCATAGAACCTTGGCATAAAGTATACGGCGCTCTAACTGTGCTCTTTTAATGTGCGGTTCACGGCGTGCAGCAATAGTAATGCTACCGTGCCTTCACCGTGTTTTTTGCGCCGTTATCATAGGTACACGCATGTAGTTATTGTACTGTTCTGCAGGGGTTCTACATGAACATCACTATTGTGTTCCGGCTGCACGCAGTAAGGCGAGGCGTAACAGCATCGTAACTGAATTTGCCTATCGGGGTAATCGTATTTCAATTCATACGAGCAAACATCGTGTATGATAGATGATATTTAGACGTAATACATATTTGGTAAATGTTGTTATCGTTGACTTTCTCTTTCTGAATAACCATTTTTATGATTATCATAGTATCAGAGACAGAGTGAACAGATTCAATTCCTCATTTAGATAAAAGGATGTCGATGGAAATTTGGATTCTGCTAATTAATTATTTGAACAAAGACTATTATGGCAATGAAGTAGAAGCAAAAATGACGCGTCAGATAATTCATAATATCTGTGACATGTCATATTGAGAAATGATGGTTTCTAATTTTCTCAAATGTCGGACCTTTTGAGAATATTTAAAGTTGTGGAAATTAATATTTGAAAATTCACATATTCTGCAGTATTTGCACTTGGAAAAATATTGTTTCCATCATCTCATCAATTCGATTAATTCATCTGTCTGTTACTTTAATAAATGTGTCAAAAACTATGTAGATCATCCATAATTGTCGAAGAATCACCCAATCAAGCATTGACGAATTTTGCCAATTAAAAAAATTGAATACGTATAGCCAAGGGAATTTCCTAGTCGGTCATTTTTACATTTTGAAGTTTGAAGTTTGGTGAATTTAGTGCCAATCCGATATTTGGAAGATTCATTATGCCCTCTTGCTTGAAAGACTGAGCGAGCAGAAAGATGACGAAAAAAATATCCTGATAAAGATTGCAAATTTCATCGGTTTGCTATTGCACAGGCTAACTTGCCAAGGTGAGCATCGCCGGAAGCTGAACAGTCAACAAATTTTGAATGCGAAGCTCATTTTTCAGTTGTAGAACCCTAGCAATATTCGGTTTGGAAATTATGTGGAATTCCCTAATAATTATTACATGGAAAATTTTAATGAAAAAATTGTGCAGATTTAACTACGACAGAGGCCTGAACTTGGTTGCTGGAGTTGTGAACCTTATGCTGCTATCAGATAAAGAAGATTACTCTCAATTCTCAGATACTTCGTTGATTCCTTACCTTATTGAATATTTCTTCCTTCTTAGCAAGATCCTCCTCGCTCAATGTGAAAGGCATCGTGGTTAATTGCTCAACGGAATTACTTGGCCTGTGAAGAAAGTAAAAGTTTGTACAAGAATTAATACCTCGTGCAATTATATTGATATAATGGAGCTACGTACTGAAGAGCATCATTCCCATCATTAAACTCATCATCATGGAATCCGTAATCTTCAATGAAATGCGATGTCATAAGTTGTCCCTGATAATTTGCATAAACCTAATGAGATTTGATGAACCGTAAATATAATTATTCGACTTCTGTTTGTCCTGAGTTGTTCTCTTAATCTTTGAGAATAGTCAGGACCTTCCGGAGCCTTACCTGCTGAATGTAGGCGTCCTGGGAGTAGGAGTATTCCTCGGCATTCGCCTCTGAAGATGTCATAAAAGACTGCGCCTTTCCACCCTAAAGTTCAAAATCAAACAGTCATTGAACGAACTAACTAGGATCAATAAAATAGCATTCGGTAATTGAACGTTAATCATGAAATTGTTTCGGTAATTATCAATTTCAATGAAAAGATATTATTTTAAAACGCTTGATATTTTCTTCCAAAACCACGAATTTTCTAGATGTCGCATAATTAATAGAAATATATCGTTTCAATCATAAAAATTGATTTTGTCACATCACTCATTGATCAAGCCACTAAGAACGTATTACCAGCAAAATTTGATGGGTGTCATTTATTTCAGCCAGCTGAGTATTTACAAGATTATCCCATTGATTAAAGCACTCTGTAGTAATATTGGTCTTCAAAAATTTCTCCAAGCCTTCGCACTTCTCTGATTGTTTGACAATATTATTAGCTACGCCAATCAAATGACCCATGTAGCCCTGGCGTACACCCTTCTCCTTGCTTTGATGAGTATCATTGCCAGCCCAAGCCTCCAAAATGCGTTCGATCAATTTACACTGGGAAAATATCTACAATACATGAAATTACGTTATTATTTTTATTATGCGGTCAATGAGCACGAATTCGACTTTGAATTTCCTTGCTCCTTTTTCGGTAGAGGATGAAAATGAGAAAAAAGGAAACCTGAGTGAATAAAGTAGTGACAGGATGAACCGAAAATGAATTTCAATTTCAATACAGAACAAATCAATCTCTCAAAAATATTTAAAAAGTCAAAAGACTTGACTATATTTTCATGCAGGGTCCGCACAAGAGGGATGGTCGCAAGAATCATAACTAGTAAGGGTCTAATAACAGAGCAGGCAAGGCAATCTCAAGGATGAAATAAAAACGAGGTTCAACTAGGAGAAGCAGACGGGATAATCACAAGCGTCAAATAACTATAAAATCGAGTGGAACAATCAGAAGGCTTTCCCGTTTAATCCTTGCCATCACTTGACGCCCGTGATTGTCCTGCTTGCCTGTCTAGTTTGACCTTGTCTGTCCCAGTTGCCCCTAGTGATTGTTTAACCCATGAGATTATACTATTTGCCTTCATTGTTTAACCCTAGCAAGGTATGATTCTTCCGAAATTTGACACTCTAGAAGTACAAGATCACTCTTGAGATTTTTCGAATTTGATAAATGAAACAAGTAGGGTAGAACTCCTATTCGGCAGAAGCCATGTGACTGTTTCTTCATGTGTTATAAGTCTTTTTTTTCTACCAATTCCATTAGTAATAAGCTCCCGAATGGATCCGTAGCAATTCTAATTTCAAAAATGAAAATTGGAAATTCCTATTAAGCTTCCCGACTTTATCTGATGGATATTATCGTTAAAAAACTAATGAATATTTCATTTTTTAGTCTCAATTTTTTTTCATTTATTAATTTTGTAATATTCTCACTTTTTTGGAATGGTTTCTTCAATAGTATCAATCATAAAGAGTAATTGAGATTAATTAGCAGTGCAAAAACTATTATTCTTTTATTTTTAGTCCTATGCCGCGGACGCGTCACACCTTTTTATATTTCGTTTTATTATCTTTTTCACCACAAAATCTTTAATAAACATTCATTTATTATGAAACCGACTAATATTTAACAATATGATATAAAATAGAATTGAGCATAATTTAATGTTGAATGACTTTTTTAATCATCCAGACGCGAAAATCATCGATAAAGTGACGATGTCATTTTTTAGAAAAAACTATTTTTAGATGAATGGCTCTATGCCATGATGTACTGAATCGATCGACCCAAAATTTTGTATAAAAGTGAGATCCGATAATACTGATTAGTAGGTAGAATTTTATGGGGTTCCTGTCAACTTTTACGCGGATTACGGGACGTGAAATTCACTATGATATGGAAAAAATGGAAAAACGTGAATATCTCGGAAACTTTGTATGGATCTCGATAGGTAGCAGTATGATGAGTATTTTGAAAAAAAAATTGGAATCGGAACAGTATTTTAGGAGATATTGAACAAAACAGTTTTTCACAAGAAGTTGAATATTTTCTAAACCACTTGTTCGATTTCGCCTACTCACAAACTCATCCTGTAATGTCATAAGAGCTACAATTTCACCAAATTTCAATATCCTATCTCAATTTTTTCGGAAGTTATCGTGTATACATTAGTTTTATCATAAAAATTTCAAAATGCCAATTATCAAAATGTGCTTTGTTTCGTAGGGAGATTATGACTCGATTTGATAGATATGACCACAATGAACACTTTGACGTCAAAAAAATTCATTTAGGTCACGTAGTTTTGGAAATATGGAGGAAAAACGATTTTTGAGGAATTGCTCTATCTCAAAAACTACTTGACCGATTGGGCTAAAACTGCGCCCAGAGCTGTTCCCAAATGATAGCAATTATGTGACGAAATTTCAGCTTTATAGCTGCAGCTTTACTTGTCTTTTTGTTGAGATTTATAAAAAAAAATCCGAAAAATCTGCACACACATACGGGCATACATACACACATTTTCTAAAAAAATATCTTCACGTTTTACGACATTCTACACCATTTCCAATCAAAATTAGAAGATCGTAAAAATGACCGTTCACATTTAACGTTTAATTTTTGTACTCTTTCTCTGCTTCCAGTCCGATCATATCATGAAAATTCCTGTGATGTCACCCTTTGTTTTCATAAAAATCTTGTTTTACAGCCCTCATAAAACGGGATATCTCTTTATATAGCTTTTTATATGGTGCCACTTGGCTCTCCATAAAAAGTCATATGAATATCTTCATCATATGGAGATTGAGAGATATTCTTTGCAATGGTATCCGTCATGAAATCAATTTGACTCATCCAGTTCTACAACTAGTTTTGTTTTACAACTTACGTGCGTATAAACGAGTTCCCTATTCTCCTCCCAGTTTCCATTAATAACTAAGGCCAAGGATTGTTCTACTTGGGTGTGCAAGAAATTATTCCAAGAGTACTTGAAAAACAAATCCTGAAATTAAAGAAACACATAAAATTGATTCTTCCAATACATGAGTGTGAAATAATATTCTTCATCACACTGTCCGTAAAACGACATTTACCGCGTAAACGTTGATTACGACGTTTCACGGACAGGAAGTGATGAAAATCACTTTGTGTCCGTCAGACGTCGTTTTCGGAGAGTGTGAAGAAAAATTATGTTTCTCACTCGGTCGAAAAGAACTTTTCTGACGCGTGTAATTGCATTCCTCGGTTTCGCCACCGTCTGCAATCCTTGCACTCGTCGGGAAAAATTTTTTCGGCCTTGTGTCGAAAATAGCTAGTTCGTCACTGTGGCAAAGAAAATTTTTATGGCGAATATGGGGCTATAGGACGAACCGAAGCTGAGTTCTGCGTGTATATTCGCCAGAAAATTTTTTGTCGACACAGTGACGAAACATATTTTTTGTGCCGACGTTCGTGAGCGGCTGTTTAGCACGCGCAGTGCGCATCAAACGAGGCTCCACGAACTGCGTGACAAAAATGTAATTTGATGATTTCATTGTCTCAGTAGCGCATTGATAAACTTCTATTTTTCCTAATGGGATTTCAACCAATCAGAGCGTAGTATTTGAAGGTATCCGACAGTTTTATTTTGGATATTTCCTCCTAGCTTTGGAATATTTCACAGTAGCTCTTTATTTTTTTTACTTGAATATTTTACAGTAGTTCTTCATTTGTTCGGCACATTTCAGATTGAATCTCATATTTGACAGTCTACGGAATTCGGATTAGTCTATTACCATAATCCTATATGCAGGGTGTCCCAGAAGTGGTGGTCTTCCCAGTAAGGGTGGCTTTTGGAGGTAATGCTGAGTGAAAAAGTCCTTTGACACTTTTTGATAAGATACACCCGTGAAGAGATATTAATACTTGAAGTTGGATCAATGTTAAATGCGCATTAAGTGTAAGCTTATCCATGAGCATTCGGCGGTTGTGTGGGAGCTAACGCCACCAAATGCTGACGCACGGTATCGGCTTTACAGCTGTGATAGTATTCGTTCCCCCTTCTCCCAACGGAATAACAGAGAGAGAACATCGTGTGTTCTCTCCTCATCTGCAGAACACGCGATGCTCTCTCTTTTTTGTTTGTTTGGAGAAGGGAGAACCAATACTATCACAGCTATAACACGGATACCGCGCGTCAGCGTCTGGTGGGGATGGCTCCCAGGTGACCACCGAATATTCAAGGATGGGCTTACCTAATGCGCGTTCATCATTGATCGAACTTCAAGGGTTAATATCGTTTTAGAAGAAGATCTCTGAAGAGATCTCGTTCAGGAGGAGATTTCTTTTAATCTTTTGGGTTAATTTATCTTTTTTATCAAAAAGTGAATCAATTTTTGATCAGGCGTACTACTAAAGAGATATTAATCCTTAGATCACTCCCAGACTGCACCCTTTCCGGGATGTCCACCACTTCTGGAACATCTTGTAGAACAATCCGTGATTATGAACCTGATCCTTTTTCTGGTTTTCACGCTAATGTCTCTCTTCCTGTTTGATGAATCTTATACGTTTCATACCCATCCGAAAGCCTATTAAATAAGCTTTAAATTGACACGTGAAGCATTACATGCTGACCATTTATCATTAAGGGGTAACGGAACCGACCACAAAAAGACGTTTACCAAAAACAAGTTTTCTTGGATTCTATGCAATGAGAATCAATGAAACTTTTTCCCCGTATTGAGAGTAGCGGAACGCATCGCTCTCTTCTCGTGCTTTTCTTATTTATGCAAAAAAAAATTGCAAATTATTTAACGGCAAGGACCAGGGCACGGCCGACGCCATTTTATTTATAGGAATCTGCCAAGTCATGGTAGAAAAACCGATTTTTTGTAGATTTTTCTTAGCCGATGGCTATTTTCATGAGAAGAGAGCGATCGAGTGAGATCCAAGACAGAGATTTTGAGTACAAAAACGTACTTTTGTTGCGTAATTTTCGTAAAAACTTGGTTATGATGATTGGGTGGTATCCAGGAGGTAACATGTCCTTTACAGGGCACCAATTGTAAGAGGGAAGTACTTTTACGAGTCAGAAGATGATGTAGAATGTTTCCATACCATTATTATTTATTTATATCTATTTATTTATATTTTATTGAATTTTGTGCTTTTCACGTACAAAATCCAAAAAACCACGGGAACCTGCATTACCGATAGGGGGGACCCCTAACCGCTGCGAGCGACGGGTTCCGTTACCCCTTAAGTTATAGCACTTTTAGACAAAAATTAGTTTTCGTGCTTTTAATTCAAAATCAACTGTGGCTGGATTCTTCTATTCTTTTACGCCAAATCAATCCAAATGTTGATATAAGATCTTGAAAGGCATTACTCATTCTTAAAATTGTGATGTATTGAATGCACTTTAGTTGAATTATCGTAACGTTATTGGAAATTCTTTCTCTTATAAACGACATGTCACACCCTAAAATTCGCTCTTTTCATCCATTACATAGTTCAACAACATTTAGATGTTTTTTGCCCTGAGTACAAAATTACCACCTCTCGATAGATTTTGTCGCGCTGAATCCGAATCTCTTCTCCGTTTTTCTCAAAATACAATCGTTATCGCGGACGAAAATATTAAAATCTCAAAAAAGGGCCAAAACACGTGGTTATAAAGATAATCGAAAAATAACCGCTACCTGGATTGATTTCCATTTTAATATCAGTGTCTCGGTACACCTACGGACAATTGGGAATTAATTCATGAAAAATCAAAAAAACAGAAACACTGAAGAGTTGAAAATTAAAAATCCCCGACAGAAAAGCTTTCAATTGACTTATTTAAAAACTGAAAAACTGAAAATTAAAAATCCCTGAAAGAAAAGTTTTCAATTGACTTATTTAGCAACTGAAAAAACAAAAAAATGAAAAACAGGAAAATTGAAAATTAAAAACCCCCGACGGAAAAGTTATCCTTGAGTAGTTTAAAGAGAGGAAAATGAAAACCCAAAATTTTAATTGAACGAATTTTAGAGCAACTGAAATTTCTTTTGTAACAGAAGAAGCAGCAGAAAAAAATTGGGGGGACATGTAGAGTCACGAAAATGTTGGTGACAACTTTTTCGTCGGGGGCAGGGATCGTCATTAATCATTACTTTGGCAATGATTACACCTCAGATTGATGATTATATTTGTAATCCATCAATCTCTCCACTGATTTTTTATTACAAGACAAATCGGCAATCAGGACTCAAAACTCTTGAATATTTAATCAATCGATAATCATAACGTAAATGTGCTTGATTACTTAATAATTCATCAATCGCAAGTTGTATTGATGAATTACTCCATCAATCGTCAATCAATTTAAAAAATTATTTAATTATTTCATTAAGCGTTGATTTGACTGATAAATTATTTGATTAATTAATTAAGCATTAATCTCATTCAAAAATTATTTGATTATTGCATTGAACGTTAATTCAACTTTATTATATTTTTTAAATTTAATATCATGATTTTTTCCATTCTATCATATCAAATGCAATCAAATTTTTTCAAATTTTTTTTATTTTATTTGTTCCTCATAATAAAATCACAAAATGAAACTTGGAAAATTCCCAAAAATTCACATAAGAAGAATTCCAAAAGAATAAGTTATATAGAAAAATCGACCTTCATCGGCTTTATTCTATGAACAAATATCTATTAACAAATGCATAGGAAAATTGCAGAATTTTCAATAAAATTGGTGCAAAAAATGAAATTTTTCAATAGAATTTTAATAAAAATCTCATAGAATTCTTGTAGTTTCAAAGAAAATCAATAGAATTTTTTAGAGAAAGCGACATTTTTTGACATATAATTTTGTTTGTTAGTCATTTATGATATTTGTTTTTTTAGTTCAAAGTTGCATAAAAATTTCGTGCATGTATGGCGGGAAAACAAGAAAATTTCTATTTATTTCCATTTATGATAATTATGAGAATCTAGAATCTATTTTTTTGTTTGTTAGTATCCGAGATGATTCGGTAATGTGCCTTGTTGAAAATTATTGGAAAATTATCATTAAATGTATTGTGTTATGTTATCCCTGGCAACTTAGTATCCTGGCTGTTACGAGGATATAGCGAGGATGTTATTTTAATGTGAAAAAGGCCGAAAATGACATACATACGTATCCGAAAATAGTTAAAAAGTTGAAAGATGATCGATTTGTTTCAATTAATACAGTTTATTGTTCTATTTTCTAATAATTTGCAGAAATGGGTGAGAGTGTAAATATGCCAATACAATCCCCGATCAACGAATGCCGCGAGATGGCGTTAGAATTATATGACCGCCCTGGTTGGGCGGGTTAACAGCACTGCGATTGCTGCCGCAGCAGTCGCAGGCCAGCCGTCTGCCGAACGAGTCGACAGAAGGGTATTGCGGCGCATTTTGTTATTCTATTTTAGCTGAAAAAATGTTGATATTTTAAATTATTCAATGCTGATGACTGTCAGGGTGGCAAATAGACGCATGTATCCGGAGGTATGAAAATTGAGGGGGCGAGGAGGAGGGGTCTGAGATTACATTTTTATCAAATTTACACCTTCGAAAACATGCACTGATTTTTTATAATTTTTTAAACAATGCATTTCGGGGAAAATACATGAGTATGCGGTTTCTCCGGGGGGGGGGGGGG